TGGCGCGATAAACACTCAGCACGCGCACACTTGACACAGCCATCTCGCTAGACACTCTGCACACACACATACACTAACACACACAAAATTGACGAAACATCAGTCATTTTATTTTGACCGTTAATGGGTGCTGTTGCCGGGCCGCGATCACTGAATAAAGGTAGTTGGGACCATGAACAAGAGAGTTTCCTGCGAGCTTGAACTCGGTTCAGCTCTGCGGGCCGATGATAATAATAATAATAGTACTTAAAATAATGCTGTAGTTTTGAGCACTGTAGGCCGGACGAAAGAACGTGTGAGCAGCCTTTGACTGGACGAGGCCACAATAAGCCCAAAATTGTATGCCCTCTGATATACATGTATTGCCTAATTTGTCTAATGACGAGCTGGGGAATCAGTTTCGAAAATTTGCGCAGTAAAATCGACCAGGATGACTACTAGGCTCACTTAATTATGAGGGTTTGACAGAATTGCGGGATAATTCAATTGACTCAATTGTGAAAAATTCGCGACCTCGGTGGGATTCGAACGCACATCAGTAGAGCAAGCACTTCATTGAACCGTAGCTCATCTGCGCCTCGTCACATCTGTCATTTTCCGTCGTTGCATAATCAGGATTTATTCAAACAGAGGTGAGCGCACACCGAACCGTCGGCTTCCCAAAGCGAACAAACTCCGCATGGGTGGCGGCAAAAGTCGCGTGAACGCACAACTAACTATCAGGACAAATTCGACCAAATGCATTGTCAGAAGCAGAAGTAGCGTGATAATTGCAGGCTCACATCACATATGGGACAGAGGAGTCGCCTAGGAGGGAAGACTTATCTGCGTAGCAGGTTGTAGATCCACTCATTGGCTTCCCGTAGCAAACAATCAGATGGACAGTTAATAGTGAAGAAAGATTTAGAAAATACGGGTAGATTGATACAGTCTGTTTCGAGCTTGTTTGGCCTTCATTCAGCCAAACACAAGTATGTCCTCGAGTACGACACATATAGTCCACACACTGAGTCTATTATATGAATCGTAAACCCTTCATCTAAACGCACATCATCCGCGCCTAGCCACATCTATGGTTCTCGATCGCTGCAGATTCGGTATCTATTTAAACAGGCGTGGGTGAACGCCGATCCATTGGCAAACAAGCTCTGTGCGAGTGGCAGAAAAGGCCGCGCGTGCCGTGGTATAGTGGTAAACTCAATAACCAAAGGTCCCGGGTTCGAGTCTCGGGTGATCCACACCTGGGATTGGGTATAACTGGATGATCACTGCTAGTAAGCCAGAAATTGCCATTCCGGTCCTCCTTGCTTTGTCGGATCTATTCCGTCCTATCCTACTAGTCGCTAGGCGACTTCCTGCGTGGGTTCTAGAGTGAGCTCTGGGACAACACCGGAACGCACATTGTTCCACACCTAGATTGGCGATCCCCACATATTCAGACAACTAACTATCAGGTCAAAGTCGGCCAAATGCATAGTCAGAAGCAGAAGTGGGGGA